CTTTCCAATGCTGAGATTCCATGATTCTAGCTGGGCATCACAAGCCATTTCAAGAGGAAAGGCAATTGGGGAATATAATCTTGGTTCGTCGAATTTTAGCATTGTGGTGCCAGACTTAGAGACAGGGAAAGGTGGTTTTGAATCCTACCTCAGAGACTTAATAGCTTTGAGGTCTTGGGAAGCTTCCTTCAGCCTTTTTCAGCCTCAGTTGTCTCTTCTGTAAAATGTGGATAATATTGGTAGCACTTATTTTGCAGGGTTATTGTGAGGCTCAAGTGAAATTCTGTATAAATATAAATAACTAACTAAGTAAATATGTGTGTGTATAGTTTCTCTCTCTGTCTCTGTCTCTCTGTCTCTCTCTGTTTCTGTCTCTCTCTGTCACTGTCTCTGTAAGTCTACAAGGCTTGAAAATTAATTTCAGAGGCAGTGAAATAATATAGAAATGCACTTGAAGTCAGAAGACATGGGCTTGAGTATTTTCTGTCAATCACTAACTATATTACCCTGAACAAAGAAAGTCACTTCTCTGAACCAGTTTCTTTACCTGAAAAATAGAGATAAGAATATTTCCACTATTGGCTTCCTACATCTGTTATGAGGACCAATTTAGTATTATTTTCACACATAATAGGTACTTTAAAATGGTTGTTGAATTGGTTTCAGAGAGGCAGAGTGGTGTAATGAGAGGGCTCAGAATTTGAAGTCAGATAATAATAAAGAAAATTAAGACCTGAGATGAGTGAAATGAAAGAATTCTCTTTCCTCAACTCTTTTATCAGTCACAATGTAACATGCCATGGAGCTGGAATGGAAGGATGAAACTGAACTACATCCTTAATGGTAAAGTAGCCTAAAACTGCACTAAGACGTTCAAGACACCCTGTATATTATCTCATAAACCTCTTCTCCTTTCTTCCCTTATAAGAGTAACCTGAAGGTATTGAAGTCACTGAAATGAGGTAGCTCAGGAGACTCTGTGCTAATGCTATAAAATGTGAGGTTGATTCTGCTTTCTTGTATTTTTAACAAATATAATAAAAAAGAGAAGCAATGTGACATAGTAGATAGACAGCTGGCCTCAGGAAGGAAGTTCTTAGTTCAAGTCTTGTTTCTCATGCATAATGGTCCTGTGACCTTGGACAAGTCACTCCACTTCTCCCAGTCTCAGTTTCCTCAACTGTAAAATGAGGAGGTTGAACTGAGTGGCCTCTAAGGTGTATTCATCTCTACATCTGGGATCCTAGGAATTACTTATATTACTCCCCCATTAAAGTTCTTTGATCCTTCACCATGGTATGAAAGTGATCTTGGGTTCTTGAAAATTATGCTATCAGAGGGCAAGGTTGAATGGGACCCACCAAGCTGGAAAGTTTTCTAGTGAGGCCCCAGTGACAGACTGAATACCTGTAGCCCAAGGGCAAGCTTACCCAAGAGCCACTGCTTCTGCCCAAAGGTAGTGACTTTTTCCATAAAGTGACTTCTCTAGATCGTCTACAACTCATCCGCTAAAAAGGAGCTAGAACTGTGCTGGTGAACTGCTCCCCACCGAGAAGCAGATTATTATTGTTACCAATGTGAATTACATCTTTAGAAACCTGGCATGAAAGGGTTAAATGTGAGGATATCCTCATCCCATATTTTCTTTCAGAGTGTTAGCATTGGGGGAACATTTTGTTGACCAAATTTTAAAAAATGGGTAAAAACACCATCATCATCATCATCACTAACATTTATATAGCATTTTAAATTTTGCACACGACTTTATAAATATATAATTTTGTCCCTACAACAATTCTTTAAGGTAAGTGTAATATTAACCCCATGTTACAGATAAGGAAACTGAGGTAGACAGAAGCTAATACTTGTATACAGCTGGTATCTGAGGCCCAATTTGAATCCAAATCTTCTTGACTCCAGGTCCAGTGCTTTATCTACTGCACTGCCCAGCTGCCAAGTTACTACAGGAAAGATTTGTTCAAAATGCAAAAAAATTGTGTTTGATTCTCCTCTTTCCACTCCATGATGTTCATTCAAGATTGTATGTATTCCCTGGTATTAGGGGCCTGAGCATCTAAAATATTGGGTCTATACAACAGGGGGGAAACCACTTCCACTAAGGAAGTTGAGTAATATTCCACCATGGCGGAATGTCTGATGCGAAAATCCCTGTTGTGCTCAGATGCTTCTGTTCTATTCTTTCTGTAGAAAAAAAAAAAGTAGTAGATGCCTACTACTCAGCCCCTGACAGAGAAGTAATGAACTCTAGATGAAGAATGCAGAATGAAACAAATATTTTCACATATGGTCATGGTTGAATTTTTTTTTGCTTGCCTGTGCACATTTGTTATAAAGTTTTTTCCCTTTTTTGTTTTCTTTCTCAATGGGATGGGATGAGAAAAGGAAAAAAAGCTTATTAATTTGAAAAAAAGAAATCAAGGGAGGAAAAAAATATAAATTACTCTACAGGCTCATAGACCCAGTGGTAAGAAGATTCCGACCCAGAAAAAGGCAAAGATGATTTCCTTTTTTTTCTCTTTGCATGCACAGTAACTATCATACTGTTTAGCACATAGAAACCACTTAATAAATGCTCCTTGGATTGAACTGAATGTTGTTAATAAGCTTTTCTCAGTAATGATGTTTATATTCTCTAGTACATGACTCAATTCCATCCTTGGCCCAGAGTTAGTCAACATGCACCCAAACTTCAGGTTTTATCAGCTTTAACCAACAGAAATGCAGGATAGGAAGCCAATATGCAAGAGCTGAATCAAAGGAGACTTCTCAAACCTCAATTATCTAGCCAGTGTTGAAAAGATGTTCCCTGAGTCTAGGGGAGCTTGTCTTCCCG